GCATAAAACTCTAATATATATATATATATATATATATATATATATATATGAAATGTAACAATAAAAACAAATAACTTGATAAAAATAAATAACATAATGCCTTTAGGCTGCAGTACAAGTTGCCATATAGACCATTATTTTAAATGTTGCTTAAGCTGGCATGTAACGGAAGTTGCATTAGTTTTTCTTCCCTATTGTAACGTGTATATCTGAGATATATCTGAAATGGCTACTCTAACAAGAAAAATGTAGGGTGGGACATGATTTTGTCCATCAGGAAATGATTGGATCGTTGTTGTCTGCTATTGCTGTGATCTCGTGTGAATGACAGGTGGATCCCGTCATCGTGCAAATAAACACGTCATCAGAGAAAAGATGTTGTTGCAAGGGGAAGGGAAAGTTATTTTGATTAAAGATTATGAGGGCACACAAATTTAAGTGCACGGATAAATAATTTATAATAAATAGTTCAATATTCAAAAAAATTAAGAATTGTCCATTTTGATTTCATTGCGACTTCAAGTGCTAATGGATGTGGTGCGTCTTCAGCTGTTTCTTGGTCTCAGCAGATTGTTTAAATGTTGGAGGCTCATTCCATCCCAAAGAACACCCTACAAGCTAAGCATATCATAAGCAAATTGCTTCTCCTGTAAATATTCAAATACAGAGCAGAATGAAAACAGAAAGCACAGCCCCTAGAGTTACGATCTTCTCTGGTCTGGATTGTGCTCCTTGGTTCCCTTTTTCTTCTGTTTGCTTGTTCTTTTCTTGTACTTGGATGCTTATTTCTTTCTCTGGACATAAAACAATATTTATTAAAAACATTCAGGTAATATATATATATATATATATATATACACAGCGGGTAAAATAAGTATTGAACAGTGCTGTTGACATTAAATTTTCACCAGATGTCGGTAATAACCCAAGTAATCCATACATACAAAGAAAACAATACAAATAATTTCAGAAATTAAGTTCTGTGTAATAAAATGGACTGACTCAGGGAAAAAGTATTGAACACGCTTACTGAAATGTATTTAATACTTTGTACAAAAGCCTTTGTTGGTAATGATAGCTTCATGACGCCTCCTATATGGAGAAACTAGACACATGCATTGCTCAGGTGTGATTTTGGCCCATTCTTTCACAGAGTCTTCAAATCCTGAAGGTTCTGTGGGCCTCTTCTATGAACTCTGATCTGTAGTTCTTTCCTTAGATTTTCTGTTGGATTCAAGTCAAATGATTGGCTGAGCCATTCTAGCAGCTCTGAAACCAAATGAGAGTTTCCTTGGCTGTGTTTGGGATCATTGTCTTGCTGAGATGTCCACCCTTGTTTCATCTTCTTCATCCTGGTAGATCTTGAGTTCTTATTTTCTATTGGATTTAAGTCAGGTGATTGGCTGGGCCATTCTAGCAGCTTTACTTTCTTTCTCAGTATTTCACAGGCTTGTCTAAATTTTGTGCAGCAAACTTTAAACGAGCTTCAACATGCTTTTTTTTCAGCAATAGAGCCTTGCGTGGTGAGCATGCCACACAGGCCACGGCGGTTGAGTGCATTACTTATTGTACTTATCGTTTTCTTTAAAAAAAACAATTGTACATGCTAATTCCAGGTCTTTCTGAAGCTCTCCACAAGTGATCCTTGGCTCTTGGACAACTCTTC